GAAAAAAAAGCTGCTGCTATTGTCTTTGCGTTAAAGAAATGGCGTGTTTTTTATTATGTCGTGACTTAACAATAATAAGGGATCATAAGGCGTTATCATTTCTGAAACCATGCGTTGTTCATGTTCATACAAGAATGTAATTTCGATATTATGTATTGTAAGGGATCTGATAACGTTGCCTGTCGAGGTATCCTACTAGGTGGGCCAAAAGAAATCACCCTATCGGAAGTAGCCAGTGGCGCACACAAGGGGGGGCACTAGGCCACGTGCCCCCCCCCCCCCAAAGAACTGCCCGCGAACACACACAACCATTGCCGAAGCGGAACCTACCAATTTTTCGGTATTTCTATCAACATGAAGATCAGCGTATACCGAAAATTATTCAGTAATTTACCAAATTATAGTAAAATACTTTCGGTTTCTAAGATTTTTTTTCACAATTGAGATTAGGAAAAAAATCCGCAAAGCGTGATATATTTTTATGTCCGATGTTACATTTTTAATCATTGCCATTCGCAAGACTTCACATTTCTTTCGGGAATACCCGACCATCAGTCGTCGCGTCGTCGGTTCGGTCGGTTGAAATTCACAGCGGGGATTCGGGGATTCCCAACCCCAAGTTTCATGTACCAATACGACGCCTACTGCATGTCACTGACTCACTGTGCTGTGTACTGTGTATGTAGTTGTTTTATAGTGTCCTCTCTCGCCGATTATATATCAACGAATCAGGATGAGCGATAAACGGAAGTCACAACAGACTTTGTTCAACTTTTTCCAAAAGAAGGCCAAATCAGAATGAAACTCAAAGTACTGACGACACTGACGTAGTTGAGTCCGCAGTTGAGGTTAGTACTGCAAATTTTAATTAAAGCCTTTAGCTATTTTACAATTTTAATTTTAGGAATCTACTTCAGAAATGTGTGATTCTAATTTGCAAACCACAAACTCAAGGGATAGGGACATATCCTTTTATGAAAATAAAGAGGCATTTAGCGATAAAGATAAAATAGATATTTTACAAATCTTGAGGACCCCAGAAAGAAACTTTGATTTTCCAGCCACAAAGTTCGGTACGAAAATGAGGAAATTTAATTACGCATGGCTAGAAACATATAAATGGCTTGTTTATTCTAGATTTGACGATGGTGCTTATTGTAAATATTGTTTTATTTTCGCACCTCAACAGATTGGAAGTTCTTCATCGCAAAATACCGGGCAGCTATAGTAATTAGTCCGTATCGAAATTGGAAAAATGCTTCGGAGCGCTTTCAGGCTCATCAATATACTCACTATCATCAATCGGCTACTACAAAGGCTGACAATTTTTTAGCAATCAAATCTGGAAAGATGCAGTCTATAGAAAATCAAGTTGATACCGCTAGGGCTCAGCAGGTTCGCGAAAATCGAAGGAAATTGGCTCCTATTATACAAACTGTAATATTATGTGGACGACAGTGTTTACCTTTGCGCGGACATAAAGATTATGGAGAGTTTAACATTGCTTCTGAACCCGAAGAAAATGAGGGAAATTTTCGTGCCTTGCTAAGAGCTCGCATTGAAGCTGGAGATAGTTCTCTTAAATTACATTTTGAGACATGTGGTCGAAATGCAACGTATATAAGTTGGAGGATTTAAAACGAAATTATTGAGGCATGTGACATAATAATAAAGAAAAAAATTACCGATGAAGTAAATGCTGCAAAGTGCTTTACTATATTGGCCGATGAAACTGCTGACATATCATCAGTAGAACAACTTTCGCTTTGTGTGAGGTATCTAAAAGAGTATCAACCAAATATGTACAAGATTTGTGAGCATTTCCTACTGTTTGTTCCTGTACCATCGACGTCCGGAGAAGCTCTAGTTAATGAAATTATAAAAGGAATACAGCAGTGCAAAATAGATATTTCGTATCTAAGGGGTCAAGGATATGACGGGGCTTCCAATATGAGCGGCGCATTCAAAGGTGTACAAGCTTCAATTTGTGAACAGTACAAGACAGCTCTTTACGTACATTCTGTTTCACATAGCCTAAACCTTGCTCTTTCTAATTCTTCCGAAGTGCAAGTGATAAGAAATTGCGTTGGAACAATTGAGAAAGTATATGTTTTCTTCAACACACCTAAAAGACAATTGGTACTACAAAAACATGTCGAAGCCTTAATACCAGAATCACACAGAGATCGATTGAAGCAATTATGCCCAACCAGATGGGTACAAAGACACGATGCAGTAATGGTTTTGGTTCAGCTACTAAAGCCAGTTCATGCTTCGCTACAGGAAATATCTTCATGGAAGGACAAGGATTCCAGTTCAGGAGCATGTATTCTTATCAGTGCACTAGGCCAAACCAATTTTATTATTTCTCTTTTATGCTTAGAAAAGCTTCTAAGTTTTACTCTTCCGCTCAGTAAAATTCTTCAGACTAAAGATATTGATCTCGTATTTGCAATTAGTAATGTTGAAGATGTCATCGCATCCGTACGAATATTGCGAGAAAATGCTGATAATGAGTTCAGTAAAATGTTTGAAGAATCTGAGCAGAAAGCAGCAATATTTGGTACTGAGATTGAAATGCCAAGAATATCGACGAAACAAATGCATAGAAGTAACATACCCAGTGAAAGCTGTATCAAGTATTACCAGATATCAATATTTCTGCTATGGATAGATTCATTTTTATCTAACCTGAATGACAGATTTTCAAAACATAGAACGATTCTTAATAATTTTATGGTGCTACTGCCTAACGGAAAATCCGTTAATCAGAAGCAAATAGACGATTTCCATAACTTGGTATCCTTTTATCTTCAAGATGTACAGGAAACAAGTAAGAACGTCTCAGAAGCAGAGCTACGTTTATGGTACCAAAAATGTATTAAATCTAGTAGTGAATCAATTGACCTTCCTTCCATTCCAAAGAGCCCAATTGATGCCATAAATATGAGCAATGTGGATGTTTATCCATATATTTTTATATTACTCAACATTGCCAGTATGAACAGCTACAGCAGAAAGAACATTTTCGACTTTACGAAGGCTTAAATCATATTTAAGAAATACTATGGGAGAAAATAGGCTGAATGGCCTTGCCAATTTGAATATCCATAGAGAGGTACATGTAGATACGAATGAGGTATTGAATATTTTGACAGAGAGAAGACCTAGGAGGCTGGATTTTGTTTTGTAAATTCCCGTTTTATTACCTACCTAGTTTGTATAGTTGAAAAATAAAAAATGTTCGTTTAATTTTCGACAGTTTGCTTATTTACCCCTTTTTTATAAGGGTCAAAATGCAAGTCTTTTAGACACATTGTGCCCCTCCCAGGCCTGGGTGCGCCAATGGAAGTAGCTCTTATTTTTGCAAATGGTGGTCAATGTCGAATCTGTTTTGACGTTCGTGAACTAGACAGATGTAGAATACAAGTGAACAAGCCATGGAGCGATACACTCCCCAAGAACGCGGAATAATCCAAGCCAAGCCATCCTCAATCTCGTGGACGATTTTTCGACCAAAATCATAATGAGCGACGAGGCTCATTTCCACCTCAGCGGGGACGTGGAAAAGCAGAACTATCGCTTCTGGGGCACCAAAAATCTATGAGTGATGCACAAGGAGCCATTAGACAAAGTGACTGCATGGTGCGCTGTTCACTCTGGAGGAGTCATCGGGCCATTTCTTTCGACGACGCCGCTGGTCAAACAACAACAATGGACGGTGCGCGCTATAGGGCCATATTAATCGAGTTTTTTCTGCTGCAATTGAACGAATTAGGACTGGAGGGTATGTGGTTCCAACAGGACCGAGCAACGGCACACACTGCGCGAGCCTCATCTCTCGTTTTGACGATTTGCACTGTCCCGCAAGATCTCCAGATTTAACCGTTCCAGACCTTTTTGGTGTTTGTTTTTGAGGTTCCGTGTTTACGTGAACAAGCCCGAGACCCTGGAAGCCGTCAAGCACAACAGTCGACACGAGTGCGACAATCTGTCGCCCGAAGTTCTCGCCGAAGTGATGAAAAATGCATAAAACGAGCCCCTATAGCAAACAATCGTGGCGGCGCCCATTTGTCCGATATCATCTCCTCGACTTGACCAATAAAATTCTAAAGGTTGAAATAGAAATAATCAAAAAACAGAATCGAAGCTTTTCATTTAGAAAAAAAATGAGAGCCAAACAACATCGGATGATTTCTTTTGGCCCACTTTGTATGAAAGAGCAGAATGAGCATTTGCGTGAAATTCCTGATGGGACGATGATTTCTATGTGAGCCTTAAGAAGAACATGAAAATAAAAATCTACTGAAATTGAAAATTCAGTTTCTTTCAAATGGAATGAATAATATGATGTATAATTATATAAAAATATAGGTAACTTATAACCAATATATTTAGTATTGAAATGAAAATTGAAATGTATAGGGAAAGTATACTTGTATTAACTCTGATCTTGATTTTTTTTATGTTCTGGTTCCCACGAAAAGGGATATCCTGTAATGTTCAGAGAACATCGTGAGAACCAAGGGAAATAAAGTAGGAATTGGGTGTTCTTCTTGAATTTCTGGAGGTTATATGCCTCGGGGAACACCTCCCTTGGCAATGTATTCCAGAGCCTCGCTGTTCGTTGGATGAACGAGTCTTTGGAAAGAGATGTTCTGCAGATCTCCAAAGTGACCACGAAGGGGTGCGAAGCCTCAACTCGACGGGTTAATCTCGCGGGGACTGCCAAGGGAGGAACAATTGTTGATATTTCAGAAGAGCTTCGTCCATGAAAATATCTATATAATAGAGCCAGATCGCCAACTTTTCTACGGTGTTCCAGAGAAGTGAGTGAGTTTGTGAGCGATGCATCACCCACGAGATGAATTGCCCTTTTTTGGACAGAATCCATCAGTTTCAGGGTATGTTTGGGTGCTGCACTCCATATATGGGAACAGTATTACAGGACAGGTCGGAAGACCATAATCAGCTGACTGGAAGTGAAATAACTCCTGGCCCGAAACAGAAAACCAAGTTTTTGGGATGCATTTTCAGCAATTGAGCTTAAAACTCCTAAACGATCATTCCTATCAGTGATATGGGAATATTATCTCTCACAAACAAGTTATATGACCTCATTCTAATAAACTCATTTCTAGTATCAAACCCTATTCAGTTACCTGAATTCCAGTTATTCTTTCAACCATTCTTCATGAAATACACAATTTTCATGACTTTAAACTATTAGGAACTGACATCTGAGAATTATTTGTTAACATTCAACTCCTGTCATCTGATCGGTATGCTTTCGTTTCTGGATGTACTGATGACAAATTGACATTCATCATACAGGATGTGGAAAGAAATTCTGAATTGGGAAAATCCAATCATGCAGTATATAAATGATTTAAAGTGTCCAGTAGAATCATCAGTCAGGGTTCGGAGGATATATATCAAGAGATATATCTCAAAATATATATCACGATATATATCATGATATTTATAACTTGATATTCATCCGATATATACGACAATTTTATTTATTAAATTAAAAATGTTTTCCACCATTCTAAACATCCGAAAATGTCTCAATAGGCCACGGTACAAAATTATAATAACTGTAGGGATTCATGCGGCTACCGCGCAAGCATCACCGCGCCGACTTGTAAATTAGTTGTGGTTTTTGTTGAATATGCCTAAAACCAAAGCATTCTATTTGGCGATATTTTGACTATAAAATTAAAAACAAAAACAGTACTGGAAAATGGACAAAATGACGGGAGTTTTCAAAGGAGATGCAGGGTATACCATCGCGAATGAAAAAAAAATATTTTAACACACCAAAAAACTATGCGCCAAAATATTTAACTTTGTTATGGTTTCGAAATATATCTTAATTGCAATGCCCAGTACAAATGCAATTTTGCCCATCATCGATTGTAGTCCATTTGTAGTATCATAAGGATTTTTTTTAACAGAAAGATGCACACAAATTAGAGGGAGGGGGGGAATTTATGGTGAATCACCCTGTTCCGACCATTCATATGGATAATGTCTTATTTCAGCGCCGACCTTGTCGGCTGATAAAGAAAGCGACAAAGAAATGATGGAAACGAACGGGAGAAGCACGTCGCCACCTCCGAGGCAGAAGATTCCAGCGGAAAACTGGAGAGGCGCGGTCAATGTGATTGACGTGACGCAAATTTCCATAACCGCCCACGAAGTATCTGGTGAGAATCTACTAAAAACTGGATAAATTTTATTGGCATATTTAAAAAAACAGGTAGTGTCGGTAGAATAATCCAGACTTTCGCAGCGAATTCCTATGTTAACCGTCAGTAGTTGCCAACTCTTCTAGCAGTATTAAAACGATTATTCCACAGGCGACTGCAGCGACCTGGGATGCGAAACAACACAACAGCATCATTCTGTTCCTGAAGATGTTCTGCCTTCCACTTACACTACTACAAAAAGAAGTGTCAACACATCAGGTACGTAGTTAATTAATTGTTATATATATTATACTAAATGAAACAGCATGTTTTAACCATGGCAAAAGACGCTGATGTTGTTGCAACCTCAGACACTTACTCTAAAGACCTCAACCTTCAAATAGGCAGATATTTCTATGCAACTAATACACTTTTTCTTCATGCTGATCATACTGAAGTTAAGAAAATGATGAATTCATTACGGCCCGGTTATAATGGCCCCTCTGCATATCAGATTGGTGAACCTTTTCTAAATGAAGTGTATTTTTGAAGGAGTGTAGGAATGCATTGGAGGGAGAAACAGTTTGTTTGTCCCTGGATGGATGGAGCAATGTTCGTAGAGGCAATAAGGAAAACAGAAAACCAATTTCAAGTTCATGTAAGGAGTTTTGTCACAGACAATACAGGAAATGTAAAGAAAATGCGTTCCGAACTAGAAAATCAAATCGGCATAATACAATATGGATATTCAGCTCACATTTTGAATTCATTGGCAAAAGATTCAGAAATTTCTTCAGCTACTGCAAATATTGTAAGTTATAAAATATTTTCACAACAAACATGTACCATCTGGACTCTACAAAGAAGCTGGAGGCAAAAATTTGGATATGCCTCTGGAAATAAGGTGGAGCACAATGAACAATGCACTTAAATCATTTTTGGTCAATAGGGGAGTATTAGTTTAGTTATGCCAGAACCATGAAGATGTCATCGAAGGTGACATCATAAAGATAGTCAATGATGTTCAGGTTGCATTAAATGCCACTGACCTAATTGCTCATCTAGATCCAATATGATAGAACTCAATGAGACTATACAACTATATCTGTCTGTGTAGAGGTCTGGCATAAATTAGAATTGGATTTCTCCGAACAGCCACTTTTGGTGAAAAAAAGTTTCTTTAGAAGAAAAAATATGGCACTTGGGGCAATGCATTATCTAGCAGATATTATAGATCATCGATTTTTGGGACGACATTTAACAGCTATTCAAAAATGACAGGCTTTTGGATATGTGAATAATATCAATAGTCCTTTTGTTCCATTTGTGATGTCTCTGATATCACAAGTTAGCCCATTTCCAAAGTACTTTTTTGGTGATCATTTTAGACTTACTCCACCAGTAATGTGGTGGATATCGATCCCTGCATTGACTGGCCAGACAAGGACGCTTTTTCGAAATTATGTGAACAGTTACATACTGCAGTGGCCTCTACAGCTGGGATTGAAAGGACCTTTTCTTCTTTCGGTTTGGTTCAATCAGATTTACGAAACCACTTAGGAAACCAAAAAGCCAGTAAGGTGATTTTAATGTTCAAGTGTATGAACCAGAATACAGACAAAAAGAAAAACAACCTTGATTAGGCATGGGAACCATCGTAATCGGAAGATTCTGAAGTTAGGGTCACTAAGAATAACATTGATGATATTGATGATAATGAGGAGGATGAAATACTGATATGAATGTTAATTAAATAATGTTAAAATCTGTTTGTTTTCAATTCTTTTCTTTTTACCTAATTGGAGTTATGAGGGAATAGAATAGAAAGTTTTTTGTTTAGAATATAAGTTTAAATTTTGTGATTGTGTTGAAATATTAATGTCGATAAAATAAGACTTAAATCTGTTTGTTTTAATATTTTTGATAATGATTTTTGTTTTTTCTGCTTAATTAGGGAGAGATATATTGAATATAGGTTTCTGTTAATGAGTTGGTGTTAAAATATAATTTGTGCAAGAAACAACACCGTTTTTTAATTAAATGAATAAATTTTAATTATGATTGTATATTGGATATATATCCAATATTATATATCCCATATATATTGGATATATATCATGTGATATGATATTTATATAAATATCATGATATTTTCACACCCTGTCATCAGTACATTATGTAATATATTAATGGAAAATATTCTCAATCTGCTAAAGATAATAATATGGAATTGAGAAATTGAGTAGGTTAAAGTAGTGGTTCAGTCAGAGGGCAATAATTGCACCTATTGCCCTATTCACCCATATCTGGGGATATTTGTATATGCACCTATTTATATCTGTGTGAATTAAAATGCCAAAGAGATTGGAAGCTTTGAATGCAATTGGATAATTAATAGCCCTCATTAATAAACTATTTCATTCACAAATTATAGTTGTTCAGAGTATTGTGAGAAATTGTTATAGAACTTACCCTCAGGTAGAGTTCATGTTCAACTTTGTAGACTATCAACTTTCTGTATTGGTTGCTAAATATGTGAGGACCAAAAGTCCAGGGCCCCCTCATGAGTTATTTATTTTACATATTACAAATAAATGTTAAATTCATAAAATGTAGTTTCATAAGATCTATTCATTGGTTCCAAACATGGTTCCTTTTAGAATCCTCGCACTTTTCTGATCAAACGAAAAGGATCATTTGGAACAGGGTAGTTGAGTTTAGTTGATTAGGTTGGAAAGAATAAAGAATTGAATTTTTTAACAACCTGTCTATCCACTCTCGAATGTAAACATGTTTAGATGAGAATTTTTGAAAAATGGAACACTAGGATCAGATTCAATTCAAGGATTTGAGCGAATGCAAAGATGTTCGGTGTTGTCAAAAATAGTCAAAATGTTGTAATTTTTACTGTTATTGTTTAACCCTACATCGCGCATTGTATCAGATCTGATACATCCTGTTCGAATTCATATTTCACATAGAGCATTTCGATGTTTAGCTTCGAAACGCAATGTAACAGATCTGATACACCTTCATAGCCATCGACTTAAGGTTCATTTTCGGAACCGGGAGAGAATATCCACGTGAATTGTTTTTTTCGCACTGTTTACATTTCAGTCTCATTCTCTATTTGGAAGAGTTATGCTGTTTATTTAGTTATTCGATCCACATATTGAATAGTATTGATATATACTGTGAAGTTATTGGGATAATAGTCTTGATTAGTTTTTCGTAAGTACATGAAGTCTGGCAGACATCATTCCGCAAAAATCTGATGTATATTGTGATGTATCAGATCTGACTTGCTAACAAAGGAATACTATCATTAGGTACAGTAAGGAGAAATAGAATACCAAATTGTAAGTTGCTACCAGAGAAAGACCTGAATAAGTTGCAATGTGGTAGTTCCCTGGAATACGTATGTATTCATGATGGTGTTGACATTTCTTGCATCTGCTGGAAAGACAACAAAACAGTTTGCCTACTCTCCTCCTATACTGGTGAAATACCAAAAACTACTGTGAAAAGATTCAATAGGAAGCAAAAAAAGAAATGTGATGTGGATTGCCCAAACATCATTATGGAATATAATCGCCATATGGGAGGCGTCGATTTGATGGATAGCCTTATTGGATGGTATAAAATCAAAATCCGTTCGAAAAAATGGTATATCAGGCTATTTTACCATTTGCTGGACCAACTCATCGTAATTGCCTGGTTGTTGTACAGGAACAACAATGGAAGAACATCAAATACATGAGACTAGCAGATTTTCCAGCAGACATTGCTTATTGTTTATGTCGAATCGGTCTAGAAGTTACTTCAAAACGAGGAAGACCATCTGATTTAGAACGAGACATACAGAACAAAAAGCATCGTTCAGCAACCACAGTGTATATACTGCCAAAGGACATGAGACTTGATTCTACTGGCCATTGGCCCATTTATGATGAAAACAGACAGAGATGTAAATTTCCAATGTGCAAGTCCCTCACCTTCATCAAATGCCAGTAATGTGGTTTGAATTTGTGTTTGTATAATAACAATAATTGTTTCATGAAATTTCATACCACTTGATTTTTTGTACCTCAAACCACTTTGTATCTGATATGATACATCACTTATTTACCATAAATAAATATGTTTTTGATGATTTAGAATTTTTTCGACATTTTTCCCTTATTATTAACAATGTTTTACATCTGAAACTATTTTTTTGACTTCAAAATAAAATATCGCGCGATGTAGGGTTAAATGTTTTCTCAGTTTATGGTTTTGACTTTACGTGTGACAACGTGTGACGTTGACTTGACAAGTAGTGAGCAGGGTTGCCAGCTTGCCACTGCAGAACTCAGGAGTGCCTCCCAACAGCTGCCGCACACTACATACATTATTCTGGCTGCCAACTCAAGTTCACACCTGCGGCCAGGGGGCTCAATCCATTATTTTTTCGAAGAATAACTTCATTTTTCTACAAACGTCAAAAAATGACAAGGTTTGCGCATTGATAACAAATTGCGAAGTGACACTTTTTTTCAGTTTCCTACGTTACCATGATACCTTGAACAAAACAATGCGCGAAGTAAAACAGTGCGCGAAGTACCTACTTCGCGCATTGTTATGTAAAATATATGAGATATTTATATTTCAACTTTATGGTCCTCAATCGATCAAATATCCACGGAATCCTTTATTTCTTAATGTTCAACAATAACTTTGTTTTATCTCTTGGAGCGCACGAAAGGAAGTTTCTATTATGTTCGTGGAACATCAGGCGTACCTAGGGAGGATAGGGGGAGGCCTTTTAATCCAGTTTAACACCATTTTTTATATCAATTTGAGCATATTTTTACTTTAGAACTATATTTTTTGACGTTTGTTGAAAAAATGTTGTTTGCAACTCGAGCGCGAAATACTTTGGTCTTCTCCGACTATTTTTTCAACTCGGCTACGCCTCGTTAAAAAAATCAGATCTCGATCACCAAAGTATAGCATTTCGCGCTCTAGATACAAAAATAACTATTTCTTGGAATGATATGGACGTCTTTGGTTATTTTGATTTTTAAAGCCTTCACTAGTCTATCACTTCATGATATGGTAGTGTCAATAGAGAAGGAAGATATTTTCCCAGTTCAATGACGACTAAATATGTAGACTGTCTGACGGGTTATACATGATCACCAGCGTAGATAAGGGGGGGTACTAGGGGACAGTACATCTTTTTTTTTTTTTTTCTTGTTCTCAAGTGATTTCTAAAAAATATTCTCTATGGGAAATAGGTTCATTTAGGGGTTTTCTATGTTTAGGCCAGAGGTGAGGTTCGGTTAGGTTAGAAAAGAATAGAATATTTTATTTGGTGTTAATAAACATTAAGTTTTACACAGGTCAACGAAACAAGTACAGATATACTCATAAAATAGATAGGTTAGGTTTTCTCATTTTTTATGCAGAAACAATATTTTCCTTCCTCAAGAAAAATTCTCCTTCTTCAAGAAAAAAGGTTCATCTAGGTCGATTGATTGTTAAAAAAAAATTCCTTCCTTATATTAGACTCGACACAAGTTAACTAACGTTCCCCTACCACTGAGTTATTACTTGCGGCTGTACGCAGACGCTAGTGTATCAATAAAACATCCCATGCATCTATATTTTCGCCTAAATTTGACAAAGCTCTTAAGTGTTCGTTTATCTCGTCTAGAAATTTCCTCAATGATGATAAAGACTCAATTGATTCTATCACTTGTCTTGCCTCAGCTTCAAGCGAATCTCTCTGGTAATGAAATTTCTCAATTTTACTTAAAGAGCTGTTTTTGTCTACTGAAGTTTCACTAGCGTCTAGCGCAAGGAGGTATTAGTATAAACAACGTAGTGGGAGAATCGCGACAAGCGAGACGCGGACGCGGACAAACATCACCTATGCCTTCACCTATCGACATGCCCGACGAACGTTGGAGCGAAGGAGCGAAACAATAATGTAATATTATTATTGGTAGGGTAGGTAAACAACCAATACCCTTAATTGGCGCCGAATTATGTAATGTACAGGGTGAGTCAATATAGTGCGTTCTCCTTCGATATTAGCCATAAACTGTCAGATATATACATATTTGAAAAAAATCGAATACAGAATAGTAATAGTGTTTCATGATAACTTTCATCTTGAAATATTTTCGTATCTATACCGGGTAACACGGACTCATGGTATACCACCTTTTTCTCCTTTTGTTTTCTAGCTATATTTCTGAAATTTGGAACATTGAATATGCTCACTAGAGGGCTTCATCTCACATTTTAGGAAATTTTTTTCATCTTTCAATTCGCCTGGAAATGAGATCAACTTTCGATTTTTGAATGGAACACCCTGTATTCCATTCCATAATCGGTTAGAGATTGTTATAACGAATTCAACAATACCGGGTTTGATTGGGTTATTTCAAACAATCACGGAGTTATTTACGTTTGAAGTTTCCATAAGAGCAATGCATGGGTGTGACGGCGCAATATGGAAACTTCTATCTTTGTCACACTCATTGAGCTTATGGGAATTTCGAATGCGAATATTTTCGTAATCGTCCGAAATAACCCAATCTTACCCGGTATTGTTGAATACGTTATAATAATCGCTAACCGAATATGAAATGAAATACAGGGTGTTCCATTTGAAAATCGAAAGTTGATCCAATTTCCAGGAGAACTGAAAGATGAAAAAAATTTCCTAAAATGTGAGATAAAGCTCGGATAAAGCCCTCTAGTGAGCATATTCGATGTTCCAAATTTCAGAAATATAGACAGAAAACCAAAGGAG